GAAGCGTTCTTTTTATTGTAAACCGGATTTTCGCACGCAACATTGTCGCTAGTACCGTGGCGCGATACTCTGTGACAAAAAATGGCATGAAGTCCATGCCCAGTAGTGTCATCAAGATTCAGCCTATCACCGAAAGTCTCTTTCATAACCCCAATTTTCAATAGCATGCACACAACCAGGATGCTCGATTATATAATGTCCTTCGACTAATGTCAGGACAACTGCTGCTGCTAGGAAAGAAGGTACACTGGCTCGAAACTATGGGATAGCCCAATCACAAGCAGTTTTCTTCTCCCTTCGGGACTTGTCGGGCCCCACGTTTAAACTAGATCTACGGCTGGATTTGCTCCCTTCGGCCGCGAGGAAAAAAACAGCGAAAGGCCTCGATATCCAGGGCAGCTAAATACATGACAGAATCGGAGCCGTTGGCAGGCAGCATTGGGGGATGGCGACCAATATGCGGGCCTCCTCGAAACTATGCCCCTTTATGAAAATCACATGTGCACTTCGAGCCCCATCTCACCCGTCATCCCCCCCTCCAACCCCCCTCCGTTCGTGGACGGCGGGTGGGGAGCTGACACTGTCACATGAACGAAGCCGTACATATTGAATGTATGCTCAAAACGGATAAAACTACATACCACTCATCATTGAATGAGGAGCACACCTCTGTATGTTCCACGATTCTACGCATCATGGCTTAGCACGTATAAAGCTGAAATTGTCTGATTTTCAGGAAAACTTGGCCTTGGACATGGTCTAATGGGGTCAATGAACAATGTGACACTTTTCATGAATCGTGATATCTCGTTAAAGACTTTTGGCTGCTTTTCCGCGAGACTACCTTTCTTGGGTTCGAACGGCATGAGGTCGCTCCCCGATCAGTCCGCGTTATAAAGCCAGCGAGTCTGGGTAAGGATTAAAATTGCCGGCTACCATCCTTATTTATCTAATTTATATATGCTGGTGTAAAAATGTGCATCTTAGGTCGTAAAAAATCAGCTGGTAGAGCAGAATAGCACATTTCTTACCAACATTCAAACCTTGATGGAAATTCGATCAGCAAGCCAACATTGCCCTTTACATGATATGTAGCAGGCAAATCTAAGATTGTCTGTGATGCTTTCCATGCATAATGCCGAAGTGTCAATTCAAATCAATGTCTGGGACTCTCCAACTCCATGTTGGATTGGGCCCCTCAGTGCTGGTTCCTCCCATCCTCCAATACACACAATACTTTTAGCTGGAAATTATCAAATGGCATGAGAAAAAACTATCGATCACAAATATTATTTTCTCTGGGTTTTGCTCACTGACCTTGACCCATGACTTGCTACCTCCCTCAGTCTTGCATAAAATCGACACCGCTGTTATTATGCCACCACTAGACAAACTGCCTTGATTTTCACCGTTATGCTGCTGAAATAAAAAAAAAGTAAAACAAACGAATTCAGAATAGAAATTGTCTGCAACAATAACAAAGCAGACCAAGTCTGCTGACAACCAGTTAGGGGAGGAAGCGTAGCGGGGCCCGTGGGTTGCCACCTCCCTCCTAGTCATGCATAAAAGTTGGCATTTTTGTCTTTATGCCACCATCACACAAACTATACTAATTTTCACTTTCAATGTAGGCTGCACATCAGGTAGGAAGCCTGCTCAGACAATCTGTACTTAATGTATACAGGGTACCATCATGACGCAATCATCATACCAATTATGTAAGGGTACCATCAGGGCAATTTTGCAATTCAAAGTTACCAGCAATGATGAAATAAATCGCATTTGCATCCATGCAAATACTATTCCTATTCGCAAAGAAAATATCCATAGGCACCGCAGGATGACCCCTTCCAGAGCTTTCCTGTTACAGTGGAGGTGCTATCATCAGCAAATAGCCAACATTGTCTTCAGAGACAACCAAATGCCAATCTTTCACTGACCTCCAATGGCAGTTGGACCACAATACCTCAAAACCTTCTGCTTCTTGAAGTAAACCCCTTGGTAAGGGGGGAGATGGCGATGGTACTTGTGCCTCTTCCCCTCCCTTTCTCTTCAAGTTGCTACACCATATCACTCCTCATTTCTCATTGCCTTCACATTGCATGTATCATTGGGTATCATGTAAATTTCTAGCAACCAATATTCACGTAAGCATAAGATTGAACCGTGAATGATTGTTTAAATGCTGGCAAAGCATCGATGAAAAATGATATTCCAAGCAGCAGCAAAGTTTTTGAAAATAGGTCGGGGAGCAATGGAAAGCTGTCTTCCCCTAAAAAAATGTGGGCGTCTCCTAGACTGGCGCAATTCTTCACTTCTTGGCGCAACTTAGGGGAGGGCTGGAGCTCTGAACTGAATAGGAAACTAGGTACACCCCTGATTTGTAGATATTCGTGACTGGTAACCATTCTGAATCCAGACAAGAGCAAGAATAGCATAAATTGGCTGTTCAGAAACATTCTCACTTCCTGTCATTCTTTTCGTGAGGAGCGTCACCAGCCTTCACCATCAGACCCACTTTTTCAAAGAGAAGAAGGCTGGTCGCTTTTGACTGCTTCAGTGAGTCAAGAGCCTCCCCTGTGTTTTGAAATGGTGGCTGGATAATCACAGTTGAATTTCAAGCCCGATCGGATCATCCCGCCGACTTACCCGTTGCTGGGGACAGGATGCTGAATCGCGACACCACCAGCAAAGCAAGCCAGGCCAAAAAATTAAATCATAGGCAGGCATTCATGACACTGCAAAGCGAATGTCCCTTACAAAGCCGTAGTGCATTGAAAATCATTGCCCACCTCATGTCAGTCTCATCGCAACGCTTGAAACATGCCTTTGCGGCCAGGTGAATCTCCATATCTAGATCTCTTTCGTCCTTCCATACTGTCTAGTTTTGGATACTGAGTCAGCTGTTAAAACAGCGAATCGGCTGACTGGCTGGGTGATGGAAAATACACTGATTTGTCGTCGGCCTGTCACCGTAGCGAGCGACCAACTAAAAATCATGGTTTCCTATTATATATATATATATATATATATATATATAATTTCATATTTCACAAAAAGCATATTTTTGTCGTGGGCTCGTGATGAAGCTCCGAAAAGATACCATGGTGCCATGGGGGTACGTAAGAAGTCTTTAAGAAAGATTTTCTTGTGTTGTGTGACTAAGTGTATTACCATGGAAGCATAATACCTATGCATGGAGGCCGCATGGCAGATTTTACAGAGTGCAACGCGGCAACATGCCCTTTTATTGAGCCGTCACCAAAATATCCGACATAGGAATTTTTGACACCGAGATTCATGTGCAAATATGAATTTTTGTCGCCGACCTTATCCATCAAGTTGGCAAGTTTTACCACCCCTGCTACAGAGGCTCGCGTTGGGTAATTTTGAGGCTGCAGCGTCAGGTTGTGTGGCATGCCTCATGTTCTGGTGTTTCATGTCCCTCCAGACTTCTCGTTAACATTATGGAAAATTTGGGTCTTTTTGATGATGCGGCATCAAGACGGTTTGAAGACCTAAAACCTCGGGAGAAGCTGATGTGATATGGCAGGTTGAGGCCCGGAAAACTCCTTGCTAGGATTATTTCGGGTAGCCTATGCTAGGAGCATTGCCGTAAGTTCACGTGCTGGTACGAAAAATAGCAGCATAAGGCACCTGTAATGGCTTAAGTAAAGTTGTCACGTTGTTATTACTCATATTTCGGTTTTGCTTATTTGCATTATACTTACTAGGTCCCAATGAATGCAGGACCTTTATGGTTGTGTTTCATATTCGTATACAATGGCAATATATCGGGAAAATTCTGCTGGGCCAGGTCATTTGACCGACCTATCGTTCTTGAAGTGACAGGGATTAGTTTCGGATCAGCCCAGAAACAGTGAATGAAATACAAGACAGAAAAGGTGCGTTGCCCGCCCACAGTACTGGCCGCAGCATGGTCCAGACGCGGCGGCAACATGGCGCTGACCCCGCGGCAACATTGTCCTGATTCCGGGCAACATGGCCCAGTTTGGATAGCAATCTATGAATTTTAGATCCGATTGCATCTAATCTAATAAGCCGGGGCAACGGAGTCTGTTCACTCTTTTTAAGAGGTTTAGTCAAAATTGGAGAGCAAGGCGGATTTTCGGCACAGACTGTAGGATTATTTTGGACTTGTTCTGAATAGAGGTCACACTAGAGCTTGACCTGACGCTACAACAAAACTCTCTTCCACTGGCTGTGTGTCTTCATAGCAAGCTGGCTGACCCTTACCCTGGCTCAAGGTCGCACCGTTCCCGGCGGGAGGCAAGGGAAGGCAGCCGGCTTCACCCAACAGAAGCAGTTAAGCACTAGCTGCTATCATGGTCATGTTGAAGGATCGCGCTGTGTTCTGTGCGTTCTATGCGTACATTTTGTATTTGCTTTCCCATTTTGATTGGACTTTTTTTTTAAAAATCGTGGCATTCCTCGTTATGGTGAATCTAGCTCCTCAGGCGGATGCTATCGCGTCAAAGCTTCAGAAAAAAACAAATTATGCCCCCATTAGGGAGGTCAAGCGATCTGATACCGACAGTGGCCATGAGCCGATCAATGTCATTTGCGTGACGAGCCCTCAAGCCAGTCATCGGCAGATTACGGGGACCACGCAGTGGCGCCATCCTAGTGGAAGCATGATATCGCATTTATCCATAGCATTGTGTCAGCAGGCATGCAAGGCTTTGCTGTAAATTACCACGGCTGCTACACGCGATGGTAAATTATCTAAATTCCAGGACCAACAGTCATCAAGTCGCTTTGGATACACCACTGGCACGGCTGTTGCTAACCGAGAGCGGCTAGGGGGCCGCTGAGCCAGCTCCGCTGCGCATCTCCAGCTCGCCGGCCCCGCCCGGTCAGTCGTGATGCGGCGGCGCCATTCGGCTGTCGGGCGACGCGCACCTGTTGGCCCGCTGCCTTCCGCCCCGGCCGGCCGGCTGCCGGCGGCCGCCGCCGGGCCGACCAGTCGACCACCGACGGCCAGAGGCGGGGAGGTGCGGCGCGAGCGTGCGGACGGGAGCGGTGTGGTGACGCGGAACGCCGCCGCACTGCGGCACCAGTGAGTACGCAGCAGGCGGTGAGCGCCGAAAGGAGGCTCTGCAGGCTGCAGACTGCAGCACAAGGCCGATTAACTCCCGAATCCGTCCATTTCCTGCTGTGGCTTTTACCGGCCTGAAGACTTCCGTATTCAGCTGGTCAGACATACCGTTTTTGGGATAATGTTGCAGCTTGCATTCACCCGCTAGACCCATGTGGGCTGTATGGTGTCTGATGCTGCCTGAGACGGCTCACTGATAACGAAAGTGGCTTGCCGGTAGCGAGCGTCGCTGCTGGGCGGATGCATTTAGCGGTCGGCGGCGCACATAGAAAAGAAATATTGCAAAAAATCCTAGCAGCCGAAACGCACTATGATGGGTGGAAAGGGACACTACCGTTGATGTTTGGCGGTTCCGTCATCCCCCTAAAGCAAGCCGTAAGTCTCCGCTTGACATTTGTTAGGCAGGCGGGTGTGGTGCTCGACTCCCTTAGGCGAATCCAAAAATAAAACCGCTTCGAGTAAGATGCTGCGATCGGGCCGGGGCCGGAAAGTTTTGATTACGGCAATGGCATGTTTATGGCTTGATTCACGTGAACAACTGTTAAGTAACTGTGTGCCGTATGGGTTTCGAGAAAATCGCCGTTCATTGTGAGCGAAAAAAAGCACCGTCTTATGTAATGATATAATGAGAGTGCGGACCGGCGACATGCCATTAAGGCTAACATCGAGAGGAAGCGCACATACAGCACATTCGCGTCGCGCGTTATGCGGCCTTTGCGCAAACAAGCATGGGTTCTTACAGCATACTCTTTTTTACTATATTCAGTGGTTGTTAAGATGTCTGAAGACAGTGCACTTTGATGTGCTGCTTATAATTATACTAAATATGACCACACATGCGTAAGGCCGTCTGTGGCCAACTGCACGCATTAATGAATGCGTGTGAAATATGATTGCGACGCACAGAGGGGACGTTAGCATTGATCATCTTTTCGTCGATGCATGGATGCAACCGAGGCAGTGGTGCGTAAGCCACCATGTGACCACCATTGACGTTTGCATAACAAAGGTTACTTACGCTTTGGAATACTGTGCTGGAGCGAACACATCGGTGATCTCTCGTTTTATACACGTACTTCGTAGCGTGTGTAGGAAACCAATAATCGCACGCCTTAGTTCCAATTATTTGTTATTTCATCCATTGATATGTGTTGTACATAACATCAAGTTTTAAAAATAAATAGTTTTCAACTTTGGCTTCAGGTGACAACTATGCCCCGGAGGATTCATTAAATGGAATGCTCCACATTTGTGTGGCGTTTGAGTTGAAATAGCCATCTTGAGAAAATTTTCATGCGGTTCACGGCCATGCCCCTTTTAAGACCCAAAACGCGCTGATTCCAGAGTTACACGCCCGCAAAGTACGAAAAGGCTATTTACAGCCAATTTCAAAACGCCTTTTCATTAATGACGCCATAGAAATGTCATTAAATCCCCGTGATATTACAGGCAGTTTTTTTTTGTTAATGATCAAAACAGCATGGCCGCTGATTCATTCGCAAAGGCGATGATGCTGCACAAGTGATACAGTCCGCAGAAGATGATTGGCTGTCAGCAAGATTTCCATGCTGAATGCGTGTCGCGAACACAAGGGTGAGCAATTTCGGGTTGTGCGATACTCGTCATAAACGGGTCATTTTTCCTTATTTCTAGGCAACAGGTCAATGTTGAAAAAACGCCACTGTCTGCAAAAAATACGGCACCCCAAAAATGGCCACTCGCTTAAAGTTATAAAAAGAAGAGGCGACCTCAAATCTGTTTTTTCTCTTGCTGGCGTTTTTTTTTCTACTAACGTATCTTTTACAGACAGCTCGGTAGGCGCCTTGTGTACCGGAGCACAGAACCTTGCTTGGGTTTATGGGTTAGCAAGGCATCATGAAATTAGTGCAACATTACAGTAATTTCAGATCTGTATTTATCCAAGTATTTCACACATATGGTATGACAAATCTAAATCTTGAACAAAAAATTGCGTTTTACAAGAAGAAGCTCATGAGCCGCATTACCATGAACCCCGTTGGGACTTTGTTTCGAAGGGAGGTCACGGTGAAGTCCGGTGTTGTGACTGAAGATCTGTGCGGAAATTGAGAAAACCTGCGCTTTGATAGGCCCCAGAGCTATGCAAATGTGAGATCACACTTATTTGGCAAAAGGGTGTGAATCGGGGGCTCGAAATGCGTGTGATCACTGGTGGTGTGTGCTACGGGCTTGTATGGGTACTGATGTGATAGGGGTGCGTGCGAGGTATGTTCTTGTGAGAGAACATTGTTTCGGTATTCTTCAGTCTACTGACCCTCAATAACATTTGATATATTGATCCCTGGTATATTGATACCTATCGATGTTGATGCCTGCCTCTACCTTTATGTTTGTGTTTGAACATGACATAGGAATGCTGGCAAACTGAGAGAAACACTAGCACTTATATTGCAAGGGTGTACAAAGGCAATTACTGGTACCGGTACTTCATCATGATCCTGCAACATTTTGAATCTATTGAGGTATTACGGGATGTAATTAATACATTGCATGCCATTATATGAGCAATTCATTTTGGCAGTAGGCGCTGGTGTGTGCAGCTCCTGAATGGACATGCTCAGTAAAGGCTCACATCAGATGGCTTTGCAAGGCTGTCTTTCCCTAAAGAATTCTGAAAATATAGCTTTATTGTTACTGATGCACATTGTAGTGTCTTCACAAATATTGTATGCAGGCGAACATTGCTCCTGAGCAATCAGTGTCATAGTCACTGCAACTTGCATGGGATGCTGGGTGCTGAGAAAGGTGGAAAAGTATTGCCGTTGGTGTCTTGAACAGCACTTCATCATGAGCCCGGTGTGCACTGGCAGCTTTATCACTTCCTTGCATTTTGCACATCCAACCATAACTGCATGCACTTATCTTGGCTCCAGCCTCGTGCAAGGTCAGCATGTTTGCAGTGCCATTTCACCACACGTAACATTGTCCCGCTATTTTTTAGTAAAGCAGCCTGATGGCTGCAGCATGTTGCATGACCATGGAAGTGAAAGATGTGTTTGCATCTTCCTCACCTGAGTTTTCTGGGTTCCCTAAGCAGGCTGAGCAAGTCATGCCACTTATTGGTTGTCTGCTGTGCTGAAAGTATTTTTTATATTGTATCATGTGTTTGTGGTCAATCATATGCCAGATGGGAAGTCAATACAATAGTGCATGCTTGACCTATCTTTTCATGCTGGAGTGTTTTATGAAAGCGGCATGGATTGCTGTCGAAAAACCATATTGGTGTTCATTATGTCATGCCACAGAACAGCACCGAGATAGTGCCAAAATGAAGCTATTGATCAGTGTCATTACACAATGTACCACATTAGTTGAGCACTCTTTGTCAAGCCTATGGAATAGCAGCTTATAATCTATGAATGACTGGTAAAAATTTATTTAACAATGCCAAAGCACGGTCTACAGCAAGAATCGTTGCACCACAATGGTTATATCAGGGTTAGCTATCAATTGCATGAACAATCCTAAGAAAAAATTATTGGTAGCCCAGCCTTACCATCTTTACCATAGCAATAGCAATGCTTTGACAATCAATGCGTGGCAACGTGACAAATTTGTTCATTTTCGCCTGACACCACATTTTCAGTTGCAAACAACGAAGACAGTGTTACGTATCTATTAATTTTGGCACGACACCCCATTTCCAATTACAAACAATAGGGACGGTGACTACTGTACTCATGACATGATATCAATGTCAGGACTACAGCACTGCGTGCAACGATGGGTCGACGATAAGGTATTGAAAAAACCATCAACAGCAAACTAGCAACAGCAGCAGTAAAGCATATCGTGCTTTGATATTAATAATCTGCCATAAAAGCTGTCGATCGCTACGTTGCGCGTGGCAAACAGTCCACGAAAGCTGTTCTTACGGCCAGCACCAAGACAAAAAATCCACAAATAACCCACCCACCAATCCGCCCCCCGGCACAGCCCCCGCGACGAGAATGGCCGGTTGGCGTCAGCTTTCGTGTGTTTCGAGGTATTCTTAAGGTCTGGCTGCCAGATGCTGCCAGGTTTTGCTGCCGTCGCAAACCCATTTCATGACGCCATCAAGCAATGGCGTAATGAGGCCCATTTTTATTATCTTTGAAATTTTGCTACTTAGCGTCGTTTTTTAACTTTGAAAGCAGACCAACAGTTGCAAGGAGGCATTTCCCATCATATCTGATGCCTTACTCAATATCTTTAAGTTTGGAGCATTCCCTTTAAGTCTACCAGAGCGGCGAATGACCCTCGGCGATAAGCGTCCGGAGCGACGTCGCTCTTTGATCCAGCGATGTCTGCTCTTCTTGTCATTCTGAGGCGGAATTCGACATGCGTCCAATTGTTCACCAGCAAACAGGCAACGTGACCTGTGTTCAGGCTGCCGGAAGTGGCGCCGTCAACCCTGGCACAGGGGATGCCGCCAGTTCGAGTTAAGACAATTCGGGGTCCGCTGGTTTTTGGCCCTTCATTCTGGAAATGCTCAAAAAACAGCCGTGGAGCAAGGTTAAACAAAGCTTTAGCTAGTGATTTCAATCTCATTTCTTACAGAGGTCATCATACTTTCTTCAGCGTATATATATATATATATATATATATATATATATATATTAAGATATATGCAAACACTGCCAATTAATATTATCAAATAAGGAAAATTATAACTTCACGTCGGCTATTTATTACGAGAATTTATGTCTGACAAAGCCAGCTGGTAAAAATATCCGACGTGGTCTTTATGGTAACCTAGCTCGGCTTTACCAGGCGTTTCACTCGCCTTGCCCGGCAGGACTCCTCTAGAGTTCTGCCACTTTATTTTGTTCTGGTAATGAATGTGTCATTCTTTTTACTCAGGCAAGGTACTGCCGCACCAAACAAGACATGCGTTAGCCGCATTTGGACAAAGCTTGCTCATCTAGATCAAACCACTGAATACAGTGTTATGAGTATGAAATCAAACATGCTCCCTAGCATTCGTGAAAGTAATGAACAGCGTGCACATTAGACGTTTCTTTTTCGCTTGCTTGGTAAGAGACCGCGTGCTTTCTTGTGACATTGCGCTGTACGCGGGTAAAATAATGTTTGCTTATTGCAGTGAACAGTTCAAATTGAATGTTAATATCCCGGACGTGCGTGCTATGTAACACAGTATGGTGTAAGTGCAGCAACCTGAAAATCGGTTTAGGGAATAAAACGTGACTGGCGGCTGGCGAGTGCTGATCTATAGTGCATTCTGAAATGGACAACGAAAATGTGGCTACAGAGAAGCGGTGGGTTTGTGGCCCGGTGGCATCGCATACCAAAAAGGCGTAACTGGCCACATACGCTTTTTACGGCCGTGCGTTTGCGTTCGGCGCACTTCAGCAAAGCGTGCTCATGAATGCTGTTTTACGTGGTGACGTGCTGCAAGCGATGTATTCAAGAACGAGCGTGTGGGTGCAGCAAAAAAGTTTGTGGGAGAGGCTGCACCGCCAGCTCAACGGTACGAAGATATAACTATATATGCCCTGTTATTGCGGCAATTGCTTGCAAAAGTCGTGTGTGTGTTGAGATGTTGTTTCACGTCAGTTGAATGCCGCTGGTGTGCACGCTTTTTTATGTGCATTATTAGGCATACACTACTTTACCGTTACCATGGGCAAAAAAAACATCGACTTTCATATACCAATATTCACGTTATATAGCGACTTTTGGGAGACTTATGTAGAAAACAAACTTGTTCATCAGCCACCGTGTAGACCTCCGTTCTCCATAAAGACGATATAGGCCCCACGTGTCAATTTAGTGAAACGCCGTCGAAATTTCGCCACTTACAGGACATTTAGTTCGCACCATAGCCGTACACTGTAACGTGCATTGTAACAAAAAGTCACTTAAGCGCATACTTTTTATCATCTATTACTCTTGGTGTTGGAATGTCCGCATTGTCCTGTCCTGTCCTGTCCTGTCCTGTCCTGAGTCCTGCCGGCCTATCTCTTGGTAGGCGTGGAAAGTTTATCATATTTACTGCATGCAGTCTGAACGATAGCCGCGTTTTTAACATTTCTTCACAACATTTTGATGTCATGGTTTGTAGTATCAGCGCACACTCAAGGCATTGGTTGTTATGAGAGCCTTGGTCCCAGGATCTGATAATAAAATGTCAGGTTAACAACAGAAACTCGCGGCGAAAGCTAGACTTACTGTGATGCTGGGCACGGGCCACTGACGTCACCTGACTGTCAGCGCGGCCGCTGCCACCGGCCGCGGGCCATTCCACTGTTACCAAAGCGACGCATAAAGCACTAGCGAGCAGCTCGAACTCACCCCGCTCACGGCGAATCGGAAGGCTGGCGCTCTGACCAACTGAACTGTTGCAAGAACATAGAATGTGCATAGCTTTTCAGAAATGCTGCCAGATTGGCACGCAACTTCTGCAAAACTAAAGCAGTCAACTGATCGGCGTCTACCAGTCTCAAGATTACAGATGTCTTCAATATGGCAGCTGGCTGGCTTTTTCGGATGCAGCCACTTTTTTGTGAAATACGGTAGCCCGGCACGAATTCTGGTCAACGGGCCATATCTTTCATGTCCAGGAGTGTGATGCATTTGGTCGGAAATGGATTCAAAATAAGGGCTATTTGATCATAATCCGTACAGTATGTTGCGTTTATCATACCCGCAGTACATTCCAGTTGGGTTAGTAACAGGTTGGTTCGGATCATGCGTTTGTGAGCTTTGCCTAACATTTTCTTCAATCTGGCAACCAGACCGTGCAATATACAACAGTTTGAAACTAGCACACCAATGGCAGTCAAGAGAGAAGGATATCGCGAGGCGGCCCTGTACGGGTGCCGCATGCCTTTTTCAAACGTCACTGCAGGTTTTTGTGTCGATCCTCCCGCGGAACGTGATAACCAGACATTAATGACAACACTAGTAGGAGCGAAACCGGTTTCTGCGCGCATCAAAACCGGTCTCGGTTCGAGCATCTGTCCAACCCACACGGTGTAGCGCATACAACAGCCCATGGCATGGGGCGGTTGTGTTTGTTTGGCGGGAAAGTAAATGTTTGATGCCGTCACGTAGGTTAGTGAACGTAGCTCGGCTAGCTTTTGCTCTCTCTCTCTCTCTCTCTCTCTCTCTCGTCTCTCTCTCTCTCTCTCCTCT